GGGGAAGGGAACGTGATTACTCCGGTCTCCCAGTCAATCTGGGGGTTATGGGCCCGTAACCATGGGAGCCCCAGAATGACTGGGAAGAGGGGTGAAGCTATAGCATCCAGGCGGAGGAGTTCCTGGTGCTGGCCGGCAATGACAGTGGTGATGGAGGGGGGGGTTTCCTGGTTCACTACCCCCGATTTTATTCGGGAACCGTCGGCCAAATAAATATTGAACCCCTTCTGTTTCAATTGGAGAGGAATACCCTGCTGGTGAGCAAAATTAATATCCAAGAAGCAGCTGCATGCCCCAGAGTCAATTATGGCCGATACTTCCACGGTCCTTTCTGGAAGCTGAAAGGAAAGGGGTACCACTAAGTATTGGGATGGACCAACATTGCCAATGGATAAGGAAGAAGAGGTGCACTTACTCAGTTTCTGCGGGCAGGAACGTGCCATATGACCAGCTTCGCCACAATAGAGGCACAGGTTCTGGGATCGTCTGCGCAGATGTTCCTCTGGGGATAGTTTAGGCCGTGCCAGGCCGAGTTGCATGGGTTCGGGGTTATCTCCAGGTGGCCGGTTTTGGATGATTGGCCTAGGTGTTTGACTGGGACCTTGAAATGATCCCCAGGGATTTCCATGACCCTGGCCGGACCTCTCAAACCTGCGTTCCCGCAGTCTACGGTCAATTTTAATGGTCAGTGCTATTAAGTCCTCTAAAGTCTCAGGTACCTCCACCCGGGCGAGCTCATCTTTCAGGCCTTCTGATAGGCCTATACGGAACTGATGCAGGAGTGCGAACTCGTTCCAGCGAGTATCCCCCATCCACCGCCTAAACTCAGATGCGTACTCCTCCGCCGCTCGGCGGCCTTGCCGGAGCGTGTACAGAGTAGCTTCAGCAGAAGCTGCCCGCTGCGGGTCATCATAAAGGATGGCCATTGCATCAAAAAAACTGTCAACCGAACTGAGGTGAGGGTCATTTTTTTCCCGTAATCGATGGGCCCAGTCTTGGGGTTCACCCTGCAGGAGGGAGATGACGAAACCCCACCTTCACGGATTCAGTCACGAAGGTTCGGGGTTGTAGCTCAAAATAGAGGAGGCAGGACTCGCGGAATGATCTGAAGCGTGTGCGGTCCCCGTGGAAACGTTCCGGTAAGGGTACTCGGGGGTCGGCCGGGAGTGGTGCGGATGCCCCAGACACCAGCACAGGGGCTGCTACGGCTGGAGGTGCGGGGACCGCGGCCTGTGGGACGGGAACGGATATAGTGCAGGTCTGGAATTGGGTTTCAATCTGCTGACATCTATCCTGCAGGGCCGATACGGCCTGTGTCAAATTAGACAGGTGCCTGCAGATCTCCTCAAGCGGCGAGGGACCTCCTCTAGACTCAGTCATGGCCTTCTGGTACTGTAAGGGACCGCCCGGCGGTACTACTAGCACTCCACTGAATAGGCGTCCCCAGCGCACGGAATCTAAGTCCCAGGGTGCTTGTTCACCAGGGCCCCTGATGGTGGGGATGGACTTGGAGCTCCCTGAGACCAGGTCGTGACTACTGGGTGCGCCCGTCAGTGGTAGTAGTATGCGCAAGGGGCTCCCACGGGGAAGAGTCTGATGTGAGGAGGTCGGAAGACCCCACTGCAAGGGATGGATGGATGGATGAGCAAGGTCAGAGGCCGGGTCGGTAACAGAGAGGACGGCAAGGTACAAGGCAGCGGGCATAGAATGGTCGGGTCACACGCCAGGTCAGCAACAGCAGGTCAAATCCAATAGGGGGCATCCAGGAGAGAGGTCAGGCAAAGCAAGGGTCAGAGCAGGAGAAAGCAGCAAGGTCAGGTTCAATCCGGGTCAAAACTTACAAGGGGTACAGGATCACAGGTTCACAGGATGCAGGGAAGACCAGAAGGCACTGAATGACAGCTCAGGGCCATTTAAATATCCCGCCCTGCGCTGCCATTGGTGCCCAGCGGGCGGCCGCGGCTTCTACTGCGCATGCGCGAACTCGAACTCGAACGCCGCGGCCGGCCCGGACCTAGTGCCCGTGTCCCTGCACAGGGCGGTGCACTGCTGAGTTTCAAACCTTTTTTGCCCTGATATTCAGTCACTGCATATATTTATATGTATTTAATTGATATTTTTTATATTTCATTTTTTATTCTTTCTTTATATTTTGAGTATTGTTTATATATTTTGTGTATATGCTTATTTGTGATGTATTTAACCACTAGGGGACCGCCCACAGTACATAGCACAGTGCAAAGCGGCCCCTGTAGGCAGGATCACGTTTATAAACATCATCCTTTTTACATGGTAGGGGGCGCGCGCACCCTGCCCGCGGCACCAATCGCGGCCGCGGGTGTCAATCACCAGGTCCCAGCCGGTGATTACCCGCCGGGTCCCGGCGATTGCCGGCAAACACTGACACGGAGCACAGCGGCATTGTTTTCAATGCAGCCCTGCTCCCTATCAGTTTCCAGCACACTGTTCCAGAGAGCAGAGCTTAGCTTTCTGGGACAGCCAGCGTGTTCCTGTGAAGAACACACCCCCACTAGTAAAACACTCCCCTCACATAGTTAACCCTTTGATTGCCTAAAAATGTTAACCCCTTCCTCCCCAGTGCTATTAGTACAGTGTCAGTGCTTTTTTTTTGCACTGATCACTGTATTGGTGTCACTGGGGATGTCAGTGATCCCAAGTGTCAGAATGTCCACCGCAGCCTTGCCATAAGTTGCTGATCGCCGCCATAAGTAGCTGATCGCCGCTATTATTAGTATACAAAAAAAAATACTGCTACAGGGCGGCACAGATGCGCAAAATCACATATATATACATGATTCGCGCTCCTGTGGTTTTCTCACCAGTCATCACATTTAATCCCTCTGGTCACTGTCACTTGATACATTGCACACAAAACCACAGTGTTTGCAAAATCAGGCCTGATCTCTGTTAGCACTTGCCGGTAAATTTTGATGACTCTCATATGCAGCAGAGTGCCAATACTAGTGCCACGCTACCATTTGGTGAACTGGTAAGTACTAGTGGCCTAGTACAGGGCTTGAAAAAGCTGCTCGCTTGCTCTCCAAATGAAAGTAGTAATTCTTGTGTGGCGAGCGGCGAGCACAGATGATGGAGCAGCTGCACCTGTGCTCCAAGCCTCATTGTGAAGCCGAATTCTGGTCTCCAACTTCCGGCTTCTTCAGCACCGCCATTACACTGGCAGCGCTGCTGAGGGGACAGGTGCAGGAGAGGTACTGAGAGGATACACCCTCTGCACCGCCGCAGGGGACTCAAGGAGAGGTCCACTCTCCACCGCCTTGGGGTACACGATGCCCGCTCTCCACCGCCTTGGGGGACACGAGGCCCGCTCTACACCGCCTTGGGGGATACAAGGCCCGCTTTACACCTCCTTGGGGGACACAAGGAGAGGTCTACTCTCCTCCGCCTTGGGGGACATGAGCCCTGCTCTACACTGCCTTGGAGGACATGAGGCCGCCTCTACATCGCCTTGGGGGACACAAGGAGAGACCCACTCTACACTGGCGTGGGGGACACGTGAAGGGGAGACCTACCAACGGTGCACATCACTACACCCGCCAGCTTAAGGTAAATTACATTTTTTTGTGCTGTGCTCTGGGAGCAAAATGATTTTGAAAAGAGTAAAAAAGAAAACACCAACAACGTTAAAAAAAAAATAACCACGCCATTTTTAGTGCTGCTCTCTGGGGCCTAAATATTTCAAAAAGTAAAAAAGAAAAGAAAAAAGCAGAGCACACCTATGCAAAATCAGCTGCAAATTTAATTTAAAATAAAAAAAAAATTGGTAGCTGACTATGCATAGGAACACATCTTCATATGGTAGTGGTGAAAATTATCAGTGCCCTTCCAGTTTTGACTGTGGTATTTTATATGCACCCTGTTTATTTTCCTAGGGTCGCCATTGGTCTCTCACAATTGTAATGTGTGGACAGACCCAGCAAGCAAGCATCTGTGCTCCGCTCTGCTCCTAAAAAGGCATCCCCACCAGCAGACACACCAAGCCACCAGAGGAGCCTTCAAGCAGACCAGCCTTCAATCAGGCCAGCCTTTAATCTGAACTGCATTTAATCTGAAGTGACGTTAATCTGAACTGCTGTTGAGCTGAACTGCCGTTGAGCTGAACTGCCATTGAACTGAACAACTGCCATTGGGCTGAACAACTGTCCTTGAGCTGAGAAACTGCCGTTGATCTGAACTGTCTTTAATTGCCGTTGAGCTGAACTGCCATTGAGCTGAACTGCCGTTGAGCTGAACTGCCTTGTTTAATCTGACCTGCCTTTGAGCTGAACTGCTGTTGAGCTGAACTGCCTTTAATCTGAACTGCCGATGAGCTGAACTGCCTTGTTTAAGCTGACCTGCCGTTGAGCTGAACTGCCTTGTTTAATCTGACCTGCCGTTGAGCTGAACTGCCTTGTTTAATCTGAACTGCAGTTGAGCTGACCTGCCATTGAGCTGACCTGCCGTTGAGCTGAACTGTCTTGTTTAATATGACCTGCCGTTGAGCTGACCTGCCTTGTTTAACCATTAGCCTACAGGGCACTTATACCACCTTCCTGCCTAGGCGAAGTTCCAGCTTTCAGCGCTGTCACATTTTGAATGACAATTGTGCGGTCATGCAACACCGTACCCATATGAAATTTTTATCATCTTTTTGTGACAGATAGAGCTTTAGTTTGGTGGTATTTAATCACCTCTAGGTTTTTTATTTTTTCTTAAACAAACCAAAAACCACTGAAAATTTTGAAAAAAAAATTTTTTTTTAGTTTTTGTTATAAAATTTTGTAAAGTGATTTCCTTCACTGATGTGCGCTAATGAGGCTGCAGTGATGGGCACTGATAGGCTGCACTGATGAACACTGATAGGTGGCACTGATGGGCACTGATGAGGTGGCACTGATGGGCATTGACAGGCATCACTGATGGGCACTGAAAGGCAGCACTCATATGACACTGATAGGCGGCACTGATAGGTGGTACTGACTGGCACTGATAGGCGGCACTGACTGGCACTGTTAGGTGGCACTAACTGGCACTGTTAGGCGGCACTGGTAGACAGCACTGATGGGCACTGATAGGCGGCACTGATGCACACTGATAGGCGGCACTGGCTGGCACTGATTGGCAGCACTGATAGGTGGCACTGACTGGCATTGATAGGTGGCACTGACTTTCACTGATGGGTGACACTGAAAGGCAGCTCAGATGGACACTGATATGTGGCATTGATGTGCACTGGTAGGTACTGAAATGTAGCACTGATGGTCACTGGCAGGTGGCATGGATGAGCACTGACAGCTGGCACTGATGGACACTGACATGTGGCACTTCTAGGGCTACACAGATCATCAGGGCACACTGATCATCAGTGCTCTGATGATCTGTGTACATGTCGATGCAGATTACCTGCTCTCCTCACGAGCTGTCACCATGACAGCTCGTGAGGAGAGAAATGCCGATAACCGTCATTTCCCTGTTTACATGTGATCAGCTGTTATTGGACACAGCTGATCACATGACCGAGCCAACATCTTTGGCTCTTTCCGTTGATCGGTGATCTGAGGGACACAGCGCACTGCCGATCGCCGCGCTGCGCGCTCCCGGAGCTGCGCATGCGAAGTTAGAATGGGAGGATGTCATATGACGTCCTCCCAGAATGAGAGAACCGCATTGCGCCCGTCATTGTACTATATGGCGGGCGGGAGGTGGTTAATCTGACCTGCCATTGAGCTGACCTGCCGTTGATCTGACCTGCCGTTGAGCTGAACTGCCTTGTTTAATCTGACCTGCCATTGAGCTAACCTGCCATTGAGTTGAACTGTCGTTAATCTGAACTGCCTTTGAGCTGAACTGCCTTTGAGCTGAACTGCCTTGTTTAATCTGAACTGCCGTTGAGCTGAACTGCCTTGTTTAATCTGAACTGCCATTGATCTGAACTACCCTTGATCTGAACTGCCTTTTTGATCTGAACTGCCTTTGATCTGAACTGCCTTTGATCTGAACTGCTTTGTTTAATCTGAACTGCCGTTGAGCTGAACTGCCTTGTTTAATCTGAACTGCATTGTTTAGTCTAAACTGCCTTGTTTAATCTGAACTGCCGTTGAGCTGTACTGCCGTTAATTTGAACTGCCGCTCAGATGACCTGCCGTTAATCTGCCTTCAAGCAGACCAGCCTTTTAAGCAGGCCAACAATCAGACCAGCCAGCAGACCAGACTTTAATCAGGCCATCAATCATACCAGCCAGCAGACCGGACTTTAATCAGGCCATCAATCAGGCCAGCCATCAATCAAGCCAGCCAGCCATGAATCAATCCAGCCATCAATGAAACCATGAGGTGGTGCGGCGTGTTTTCAAATATTATCATTGCTCAGCAAAACGCTTTATTCAACTTAAAGATCTCGCAAACACTTTAAGCAAGGAAATCTTGAAAATTAAAGATGTACACACAGTGCGCTGGTTATGCAGCAAAGTTGAGGCCTTGTGTGCTTTTCTGCAAAACTGGAAGACAGTACTGAGCCATTTTGAGCATCATCAACTAAGGGATCATCTGAATCTGCTAAAGTTAAAAGCATCCTGAAAGACCTGAAACAGCTGAAGTTTGTGAAACTTTTGCATTTCCTATTCGATTTTTATAGCAAGCTGAAACCTTTGTCAGAGGGTCTTCAGAACAAGGAACTTATGATCTGTCAGGTAAAAAACAAACTAGAACATTCAGTTAAAACTTTTCAGGATCTTTCTGATGGGAAAGGGAAAACGAATTTGAATTTCTTAGTAAGTTTACAGAAGATGGAAAACTACATGGGCTGCAGCTGACCAACCTTCAAGTTGGTGACAGAGCATTTCAGTCTATACGCCAATCTGTATTGGCCAAAGCAGAAAGATATTTAATTTTGAGGCTTTCCTCATTCTCCTCAGATATTGTACAATCTTTAAATATATTTAACAGCGTGTCTTGGCCAGACAAAGCACACATCCTCAACTTTGGATTGACTGAGTTGCACAGAATTGCAAAACATGTTTTTGCTAATCAGTTTGAAGACAAAATTGACCTGTTAGAAGCAGAGTGGGCTGACCTAAAACTCTCCATTCAAAATGGATGAATTAATGAGACTCTGAAAAGACTGAATCAGCAGAAAGAAAGATTCAGCAACATACTCCCTCTGGTCAGTTTCTGTGCCGTACTTCCCCCAACAACCGCCTCATGTGAACGTGGCTTTAGCTACCAAAACGGAATAAAGACAGTCAATTGTTCATCACTGACACTGGAGACTTTGGATGATCTTTTGATGATTGCTGGTAATGGACCACCGCTAAAAGATTACAATCCAAACACAGCCATTGATAAATGGTATTTTTCATCAGAAAGGGGATGTTACACAAGTCTTGCTATACAACGAAAACCATAGCGAAACTGGCTTCCTACTGCTTTTTGTCATCCAGAAAATAATTTTTTGGTGTGTTTTTTCTTCATGAAATAGATTACAATCCACACACAGCCATTGAAGTAGTATTTTGCATCAGAAAAAGGGTATTGCACAAGTCTTGGTCCTGCTGTACAACGAAAACAATTGCAAATCTTGATGTGAAACTGGCTTCCTACTGCTTTTTGTCATCTAAAAAATTTATTTTTGTGTTTTTTTTTCATAATTGAATAAAATGCAATCCACATACAGCCATTGAAGTGGTATTTTGCATCAGAAAAAAGGTATTACACAAGTCTTGGTCCTGCTTGTACAACACAAACCATGGCTACTCTATTAGCACATCTTTGGTAAAATGTTTACTATTGTTATGCCATGTTTTTTGGCATCTAAATAAGCACTTTTTTTGTTTTTTCTTAATGCACTACTTCTCTAAGCTCTCTTTTAATAAGATGCTGGAGATAAAAAAATGAAAAATGTTTATTATTATTATTTATTTTATGCAATGTTTGTTGGCCATCAAAAGAGGCACTTTTTTCTTTTTTCTTAATGCCACACTTCTCTAAGGTCTCTGCTGGAGATAAAAAATACAACATGTTTACAGTAACTATTATTCCATGTTTTTGGCATCAAAATAAGCACTTTTTCTTATGCTATACTTCTGTAAACTAAACTTACATCTTTTAAAAGAGACTTTAGTTACTAACGTCTCTTTTTAAAGATGCAGGAGATAAACAAAAAATACACAATGTTCACTACAGGTTTAAAGCTGTAAAACGTGATATTTTGATTGCACCCTATTGCTATTTAGCTGCTATGTTTAAATTGACATAATAAAGCTATGTTATAATTGCCGTTTTTTATATTTTGGACTCTTTATTCTGAAGAAAAAGGTAATTTCATAAGCTTTAAGGGGGTGTGGTTGGGGGTGGGGGCAGGGGCGGACCTGGGCAAGGTTGGGTGGGGCAACTGGTGGAGAGTAGGTTTGTGCCTGGCTAGTGGGTCTAGACTCAAAATCTTAAGCCCTGGCCTAGTATATCCTGGTCTTTCACATACCTCTTAGATTGGAAGCTTCATGGGGCAGAGCCCTCCTAACCCTCTTGTATTGAACTGTATTGTTGCTGTATTGTCTCCCTTTATATTGTAAAGCACTGAGCAAACTGTTGGCGCTGTATAAAATCCTGTATAATAATAATAATACCGTAATGAGGGATTCAGTGAGCGCTAACCAACACAGCAGCTGATACACTAAAAAGGAAAAACCATAAAACCTTCAAATAGACAATATAAGATAGATAGTGCAGCGCTAGATGATATATGACTGCACCAGTATTAGAGATGGTGCAATATCCCTTACTTAAATGTCAACTAATGTGGACCACATATATTGTATGTGACCTTCCCAAGAATTGAAAAAAGGGAAATAATGACGTGAACTCCACGCGACTTCACTTCACAATAAAAAACGCACAATATAAATGCACAATACAGTCCAGTCATCAAAGAAACACAGATAAGTATATCTTGATAAGATCCTTATGATGCATGCAGTCCGGCGTTGTGCAGAAAAAATGAATAAATTGCGCACTCACCGGAAGCACAATTTAAATTGTGCGTTTGTGTCTCATACACCAAGGATCATTCCGGCTGTAGATGTTGCATGGGTAAAAACCCATCATATTACCAAAGAACGTAGTCAGAGCATTACCAGATAGGCCTGAAATAGTCTTCAGAAAGGCCCCTACCTTACGGGATAAAATCTCACCAAATGTGGTAGATCCTCCCTCCAGAACTACGTTCTTTGGTAATATGACGGGTTTTTACCCATGCAACAAGTGCGTTATATGTAAGTTAGATGGCATACGCAAAAAGAAAATTGAATCTTTTACTTCCACTATAACTCAGAAAACATATGACATCTCTTCATTGATCACCTGTCATAGCCGCTATGCGGTATACCTCTTGGAGTGCCCATGTAAACGGCAATATATTGGTCGAACCACCAGAAGGCTCAGAGACAGGTTCAGAGAGCACGTTAACTGTATCAAAAAGGGCCGGAAAGAACATCCTCTGTCTAGACATTTCCGATACCACCATAACCGGGACCCTACCTCTTTGAAATTTTCAGGGATCGATGTAGTTCATAGTCACTGGCGAGGTACACATAAGTTAAGACAAGTCTCTCAAATGGAAACGAGGTGGATATATGAGATGAGAACTTTATCCCCTCTTGGCCATAATGTAGAGGTAGATATAAATTGCTATATAGATAATAGTTAACACCTATGTCTTTAATTGTTTATATGGCCCTTTGTCTAACTTTAATTCTTCACATTTACATTGTGGGTTATCAGGAATATTACAACATTACAGACCATGAATATAGATTAAGACTACCTTAGTTATCATAACAGTCCACCTATTTGTTTATTACACTATGACTTATAAGGTTTTTTAATATGGTCCACTTAGAAATTTTACTTTATTATTTTGACATTGGTTATTATAATTTTTATATATTTGGGGTATTTCAACTTCAATTTTATGTATTTTACTGTATTGAAGTGGGTTTAATGAGGACATATACTGCATGGTTATGTACACTCATTATAGCCCCCATGTTTTGGTTTTATATGATCTTCTATGGTCAACATGTGCATAATTTTATACATTTTTGTATATAATAATACTGTTTATGCATAATGATTTTAAGCTATGTATATAATTTTAGTTTTTACCATAGTGGCTTCTGATCACCATAGAGTGATCAAGAGTTTTGTATACAAAGGTACATGTCACTAATGGGCATATAAGATACCATATGGGACACTTAGTAATTAGGAATGATGTATCTAATTGTACAATCTATATATCAGAGCCTCCCCTAGGTGAATAGGGCATTGTATAAATTCCAGGTATATCCTTAATTGTTCATTCACTGTCCCTGCACCTGTGCAAGTGCAGTGAGTGTGTATCTATCCTGTGAGACCACGGAAATATGGCGGTTCCGTTTGCGCATGCGCACTGCTGTACCGACCCACGGTAAAATGGCGTCGGTCCGTTGTGTTCATTCGCGCATGCGCACTTATGCAGCCCACCCCCGGGAATATGGCGCCGATCCGCATTGATCGGCGCTTTCTCTCCATCTCCTTTTGAAGATACCTGGGGACACCTGGGACTACAACATGCA